TAATTATGTTTTACTCGTGAAATAAATATTTTCTTTAATCTTGTATTTGTATGTCCCTCTTGTTGTTTTCCCTTTTTCCTTAGAATTTGCTAGAAATCATAAAGCATCATTTGCTTTCAATAAAATTTATATTTGGTTATAAATCTCTCTAGAGAAGACACTGAAATGTTTATAACATAACAGCTGTTTATTTCGATTTTTTATTGCCTAAATCTTGTTAATGTGTATGACAGCATAGGAGCAAATTCCTGCATTTATTGTAATTTTAGATTGATAAAATTGTATTTACATGATATGGTACACGTTACAACATAAAACTACAAAAATCGTTGCATCATAGTGTGTATCAATACAAAGGCATAGAGATGGATTAAACCAAAAACAAGATTGTTTTTGTGTGTGAGTTTTTGTTTGTTTTATTTTTTGTTTTTGTTTTTTGTTGTTTTCTTTGTTGTTTTTTGTTTCTTTTTCATTCTTTTTCTCCTTCATTTTTCTGTCTGTCTATGTCTATCTGTCTATTTTAAGTTTGTGTATGCTTTTCATACTTCATATATCAAATTACAATAAGTTAAACAATTAATATTTCGAAATTTATCGTCGTTATAACATGTACGATAGTTCAACAAGTAACACTTTGTTCAAATAAGCGTATACCCTTTTGACAAATACAAGTAATTGTAACAATCCTTGACATAATTGAACAACATCCATACACATCGATGTCAACGCTTTTAAATCAACAATAAGGTTTTCGAAACACATATCAAGGCGCAAAAAGAAAACACCATAAAATACACGACAATTCTATTATCTGTCACATACTGTGATTGTCAAAAAAAAGAATATTGTACAATAAGCATTTTAGCATTCAGTTCACAGCAAGGGACATTGTAGCAAATACTTGTAATATTAACACATTGTTACGTTACATCGTATAATGAATATTTAATGAAAAGATGTCTCCTAAATTCCGCCTCAACAAAAAAGAAGGAAACAAATTTGCCATATAAATCATTGTACATATAATATAAACAGACACGATAAAGAATAAATCTTAGTGGTTCAAGGAGGTGACATATAAATACACTTTCAGGTTTAACGATCGCCTTTTGTATTTAAATGATTATATTCAGCACAAAAAAATGTTTTTGGTTTCCATTTTCTGAAGGTTTCTTTTCGTTTTTGGGTGTAACTGTTTCTATTGTGTGAGGTTTGTTTGTTTGTGTATTTTATGTTTGTTGTTCGTTTTATTTTTATTTTTCGTATTGGGGGATGGGTAAGTTATGTGATTTTATAATTAGTCGCAATGTGAAATATATTTTAAATCTTAGTAACTTTCAGATTTTCAGATGTTTGTTGTTGGTGCCGCTGTTCTTTGTCAAAATCATAAAGCATCATTTTATTCAATAAAACGGATATCTGGTAATAAACTTCTGTGGAAAGGGCACTGAAATGTTTATTACATAGCAGCTGTTTATTTCGAAGTTATATTGCCTAAATCTTGTTAATATGTATGACAGCATAGGAGCAAATTCCTACATTCATTGTCATTTTAGATCGATACTTAAAACTACAAAAATTGTTGAATCATTGTGTGTATCAAATCAAAGGACTAGAGATAAATTAAATTAAAAAAAGTTTCTATTTTTTATCAGTATTTTAACTTTTCCTAAGCTCTTCATAATTCATTTTTTAAATTACAATATCACATCAATGTTTTGAAATTTATTGTCGTTATAATAGGTACGGTAGTTACAGACGTAACACTTTGTTTGTATATCCTTTTCACAAAGACATGCAGTTGTAACAATCTTTGACATCATTAAACAACATATACACATCAACGTTTAATATTAGAAGGTTACGCATTTGATCAACTATAAGGTTTTTGAAACACATTTCAAGGCGCAAAAGGAAAACAGCATCATAATCACGACAATTCTATCATATTTCATAATTTATACGGCAATTGTCAAACAAGCATATTGTACAATTTGCATTTTAGTTATCTGTTAACAACAATGGACATTGTAGCAAATATTTGGAATATTAACACAATGATATGAATATTTGATGAAGAGGTGTCTCCTTAATTCCGCTTCAACAAAAATAGAAGGAAACCAATTCGCCATATAAATCACTGTGCATATAATTGAAAGAGACACGATAAAGAATAAATCTTGATGGTTCAATGAGATGAGATTAAATAGTAACAAACAAATACACTTTCAGGTTGTTACATACCAGAATCTTTATATAGAAAATTTACAAAACGGGTAAAATACACAAATGACAATCATGTAATTTGATTGGCCGATCGGTTACCTCAGTTGGGAAAGTGTATTAATTACTTCTGATTTTCATGCCAACTTAAGTTCATATGTAATGCACTCAATCATAACCACATGACCCTGCCAATGTAAGTAAGTAAGTAAATATTTTATTATAATGACATGTGTATGACAGTTTACAAATAACGAAATCAAATAATTTAACATAGCACCCGGCCCAATGGACCAATAAGTCACCTGAAACATATATTACGTTATAAATAGTTCATATGAAATGTATGTATGTATCAATGTATGTATCTTTAGAAGAGTTTTGGTTTTTTGGGGCGAAAAGGGTTATTGCTGGTACATAACAATCGTGTGATATTTTAATAAAGTATCAATACGGTTCAATGTGTGACTTAATACTAATATGAAATGATAGTAGAAATGATAACATTTATCTAAATGGAAGGGAGGCAACCGTATTGTATAAAGAGATACCAAAACGATCAAGAGTTATACTGATGGGGAATTCATAGATTTCAATTTAGATCTATATATTTTAAACTTAAATGGGATACATATAAAGGAATAAATTGAGTTTCATGTATAACAATGCATGACTATATTTATATTTATTTATAATAATGTAAATAATTGTATCTAATTTTGACTGGTTGAAAACACTTTATATACGATGCCGTTTTTTTCTAAATTATAGATGGTTAATATCGTTTGTGCATAAAAATTATTTAAATTGCGTTTTGTTCTTTATGTCATTTTTCTCGATTTAAAATCATTACATCAGAAACAATATTTAAAAGTAATTTCGTTTGTCTCGTCAGCAACTTGATTGACTTATATTATATATGCGATCTGAGGTAATAATTTGAAGCGTTTGACAACATTTTACTTTATTGTCCAGCTTTATTTGTCATCCAATGAAAACGCTGTATTTCTTAAAAATTGTGTGTGTCAATTTTCATAGAAGAACAAAAGTCCATACTATATCGAATTCCGTTCATAGTCGCCCTATATTTTTCATAGTACTTCATAGAACCACGTAGTGACGTAATTAAGTGAATAATAATGAGGTCAAATAAAGCTTGACACTAAGTATGCTAGTATTCATCCGTAGCTTTCTACAGAAATTAGAAGCATTCTCCTGTCGCTATCGCTCCCGTCGAAGTTTCTAATTTATGTAGAACAGAACGGATGAACACTAGATCTAACATATACATAGTACGCTGACTATTTAAATGTGATCAGAATTAATGGTAACGTCACATGTATAATGATTACGTCACACGTCTAAATTTAGAACGTCAACAGTTATATTTCATACTTTCCAGTGCATGATACTGTAATATATCAGATGATGTGATGACTCATATAATAGAATGCGCAAAGTTACGCAGAAAAAAATAAAAATATGAAATAAACAGAAAATATATTTTTTTTACATATAAGATTGAAATATATTTCATTCGAGAACACCAGCTATTTTATTTTTATAATACTGCATCTGGTGTTCACTCAGTGAAATATATTTTAATCTTACATGCAAAACAAACAAATATCCTCTACATTAACACACACTTTCGGTTCATCTGTGTTTAATAGGGAAAAATGCGGATCGTGTTAGAATATAGTAAATAACTTGTGCACTATGACATTTCTCTTAGTATTTAATGGTGATCAGAATTACTAAGTAGATCGTTTGGAAGGCATCCGTAGCGGAGTGGTATCAAAACCACTTGCCCCTCACTGCTGTTGGTTCGAATCCCGAACGCGCTTTTAGGTAAGGAAGATATTCAGGTAGGTGACGAAACGTCGGTGGTTCTTCTAAGGTACCCGTTCGTGCCTGATATAATGCACGGATGGGCACCTAAGTTCTTTCTCCATCAAAAAAGCTGGAAAGTCGCCATTTGATAAATGTTGTGTTGGATCGACGTAAAACCCAAGCAAAAAAAATGTGTTGTTTTCTATTTAGAATGATATCTGCAATAGTAATTAGAAAAAATGATGTCATAAACGCCACGAGCAACGTATACATTGTGGAGCTACAGTAATTGTAATATGTCATTTTGTCAGATGCTCCAAACCTTTACCTGCAGCCGTGTTTAAACAATATATACGTCTATTAGTACCTATAATTTACTTTCTACTTACGATGAACATTTTTATGTCAACGGATGACCGCTTTACGCTATAAGTACAAATCAAATAGCAAATCATTTATCAAAAAACACACACACACACATACGCACACGCACAAACACACGCACACACACGTTTTGTGAACGGGAACATTTAATTTATATTAGATATTGCTTTATGTTCTTGTGGTAACTGAAAAAAAAAATGAAATTCAATATACTTGCCATTGCCGTTCAAAGTACATACACTTTTCACAGTTAGAAATAACGTTTGTTAGAAAGACGCATTATATTGGCATATCAATAGCTCTGTACTAAAAAAATCACTTCCGATAATCAGTTATTTTGAGGATCAATTAGGTACTTTCTGCATAAATCATTCATGTTACTTTTCCGTCAGATATTTAAAGTTATGCCTATTAAATGCCTATTAATCTGTATTTATATTTTCTTTCCCAGACGATACCATTTTCCTATTCTGCCCATCGATTCATAGTTTCCTATTTAAATGCCGATATGCCGTTGGTGTTTATAAATTAAACCCTTCTCAGTTACTTCCCTTTGCTATGCAGTATCCATTTGTACAAAATGTAAATATTGTACATTTTACATTTAGATTTAACCTATATAACGGATTTTATTAACATTTAGATTTTCTGTTATGCAACATACAAATAAGATAGCATTTGTACGTACGTATTGACGGGTGTTGAAGAAGTATATAGCTGTACAATATGTTAATTGAAAGGTTATGTGACTTATGTAAAAGACATACCGCTATAATTGCATTGGGATTACCAGCTATTACTGTAACTACCGGGCTTTTGATAAAGAGGTTTCGCAGAGTTTATACTAGAACAAACAGGTAAAGATATGCTTGCATTCAAATGCAAATCAATTTTTAATATGTTAGACACTAAAATCTTTATCTTAGTGCTTATAGCAATATAATTATGACGTAGGTATTAAAGAGTGTGCTTATATCAATATATGATGTAGGTATTAAAGAGTTTATTTCATTTTTATTGTACATCAGATAGAAATAGAATAATTCATATGAGTGAAGTTTGCTTAACCGTAACTACCTGCTTTTACAACTATTTCTACCAAAACATCTATTAAAATATGAAACAATGTACATTGTATCACAAAAGTTATGCAGATCATTTTTCATTGTTTACAGAATATGTGGCATAGATTATCCAAGGGATGTTGTAATTCTTCATCCATTGGGTAGGGGAATAACAGGACCGGACACAAGTCATTTTGTTGTGAAACTTGAAACATATCTAAGATTTCACAATATACTTTACCAGGTACAAATATTTTACTTTTGTAAGATCTGTAATGGTTTGATCATGTTGATATTATATGTTGTTGCTATTGCTATATAGTATATATTTGAAACATGTGTCATCTGTTATAATGATACGCATAAAAAGTATGTTTTAATTCCTCAGTGACCGTGTGTATGTATTTGCAATAAGAATCTTTTTTTTTTCGTCAGTCTGACTTCAATATAGATAACTACAAGTTAGGTCCAAAACAGAAAGTTCCATGGATCGAATATAATGATGTTACACTTGGCGACTCTCAGATGATTATAGAGTTCTTGAACAAGGAGTTGAATGTGGATATGGATGCTCATCTGTCAAAGCAAGAGAAAGCGCTTGCATGGGCAATACAGAAATGGATCGAGGAATTCATGTATTGGTAGGTAAGATATGGCTTCTTTTTACATTTGCACAGTCTCATGATTTTTGACTAGCACAAACAATGCTTGTGATTATTATGTGCTTATCAGTGATGAGTGCATTCAATTTCAGTGCTCTTGAATGGGCAATACAAAAATGTGAGGAGGAATGCATGTATTGGTGAGACATGGTAATTTTACATTTACGTAAGAGCAGGGATAATAAAATGCTAATCTGTGCTTATCAGTGTAACTTACATTAATATTATTTTTTTTTCACAGGCAATACGGAAATGGGATGAGGAATTCATGCACTAGTGAGATCATTGGCAATATTTAACAAAAACGCACATGTTTTTTGACTAGCATAAACAAAGCTTAAATGACTGCTTACCAGTGATAGTTGAATAAAACCTACAGTGTGTTAATTGCAAAATAGAAGCTTTACATACTTAAACTTTTGCAAGTTTTATGCTAACAAAAAGAAACATGTGTATATGTTTGTGAAAATGAAAGTACCGCCAAAATTTCAGAAAATATACGATACTCTCCTATTTTCACTGATTTGTGGACTTTTTTTCATATTGCAAAAACGTACTTTAGATGGTTTAATAAATGCACGCTTTAATTGATTTGAAAAAAAATTGATTGACCATTGATATGAAATACTTAACTTTGAAGTGTGTTCCAAGTGTTTGATATCTACAATATACATTTATTATAATAAAAAAACATGTTTATCACAAAACCCATACAATAAAAACTATATTTCACTACCGCAGTACTGTAATAACAATGAAGTGACGTCATTTGCGTTAAATGTAAACATGGCGCGCTTTGTTTTTAACGCAAATGATAGCGTTACACTATAGACTCGTCAAAGGAAATGACTCTTTTTAAGTGTTAACCGTTCTTATTTTGGATATGTGATAAATAGAATATTACATTCGTGTAGATTCAATGCTATTTCTTTTTGAACTCGTTCAATAACTATTCTATACTCGCCAGAGGTCCAACAAATTACACGATTTCATTCAAAGAGTTCAAATAATTTTCTGTTCAATCTACACGGACTCATTCAATGTCTTCTTTATCTTTCATTTCACTTGCAGGATAAGTGTGCAATGGACCTGGGTTTTATTTATAGAAGAAACATTTCAAGATGGTATTTCACCCTTTCCTTTAGATGAGAAGTCGGCGGTTAAAGACTGGGTAGCCAATATGACATATACAGCAGGAATAGGAAGACATAGCGAGGAGGAAATTCTGGAAATGACAGTCTCAAATTTACGAAAGTTTTCTGATATTTTAGGTACTTTTTTGCGTTGTTATGTCTTCTAGAGTTTATGTTATTTCAGGTAAACATGATTTTATGTCTTGACTCAAAGTCAGATACCGATTTTTCTCTTAAAATTTCAGAGTAATCATAGGCTTCATAGTTTAATTACGAAAATGAAAAGTCGATTGAATCTGTTTTAAATTGTTCGGTGATGGGACATGCGGTTTTTCTTTTATTAAAAAGGAAAATGTTCTGTTTTTGTACATTTTCACGTTTATTTCATGCATGAAATAGCAATATGTCTAAGATTGTAAAAATCATGACGAATAAAATAATTTAGATGAAAGGCCTTATTGATCAATTATATTTTAAAACAATGTTAAATTATGATTTTGGTTTTCACCTTATAACTGATTTGTTGCTTTCAGGGGAAAGGCAATACATTTTCGGAGACAAAATGAGCACCGTGGACTGTTCTGCATTCGGTATATTCTCCCAGATGAGATGGTTAACCCCTAAATCATGCCCATGTTATAAGGTTTTTGAAGGTTAACATTTCTATATTGTATGAATTTATCTTTTGAAATATTTTATGAAATTATTAGGTTACATATTACCTATTGTTACCAATCTTTGAGTTCACATCTCTTCCTTATGTATGTGATACACTTCGGCCAAGCGGAAAAAAAAGTCTTTAATTTAATGTGATTAGCTCATTTTCATTGATATCGAAGCGCTTTATATTAAAGCATGTATTGTCTGAGGATATATTTTGATTAAGCCGGTGCTAGGGGCGTCGTCGGTAGCTTGCACTTTCCAGTGCCGGCCATGCACAGGCTCAATCAATTTCTGATTAAGCCGGTGTAAGGGGTCATGGGCAGTAGCTTGCACTTACCAGTACCGTCAGTGCAGAGGCTCAGTCAAATTCTGCTTAAGCCGGTGCTAGGGGGCGTGGACAGTAGCCTGCACTTATCAGTACTTTCTATAAACAGGCTCAATTAAACCGAGCCTGCAACATTTTCAACTTTGTCGTTCTGGACATTCTTTAGAAATTGTATTTTTTTCTGTATTTTAGGAAAGTAAAATGTTTAGGACTGGAGAGTTATCAGATAAACTACACACTTTATTCACAAGCAAGCAATGAAAGTGCAAAATATATTTAAGATTGTTAAAATGTTTTAATGTAACATTTGAAAGTTTTATACACAATCATTAAACATGTTCTCAAGTTATGATCCTGGATGATTTTCCTATCATTAATTTTGTTTTCAGTGTTAGAAAAAGCAATGTCTTTACCAAGGACATAACCATAACATTGGGTAGTTTTAAGTTAACTTAAACAAGTTAATACTGTAATATATATACAAAGGTCATTTTATTTTGTTTTATAATATTTGTTTATGTATATTTTCAGATGGTGAAATATCTAATGTTGTAAAATACCTGGACAGAATACGAGATCATTATTGGCCTGATTGGGACAATCCAAGATTTTAGCCGGCGCTCTTAGTCGTTGATATTTCCTTGTAAGACACTATAATAATGGCATGTGCAAATATTTATGGTTTCATTACGATATTTCTTCTTTCACAGGCTTTTTAAAGACAGATAATTTAAATTAAATGTCGTTTTATTAGCTCCTAAATGTCAATGTTAGTACATCTTGAAATCGTGAGTTACTTGCTTTGATATAAAGTTAAACAGGACAAAAATGTTTTCGAACTGTCTATATGCACAATGATTTGTAAAATCTATTCATTTAACACATTTTATACCATATTTTATTCAAAAATGAAAGACAACCCATAGCGTCTGGACGCACCAAAATTATACGACACGATAGTGTTGTCTGATAGTGTTCTACACACGACACGTACATATTTTATAATATCCTATAAAAATGATAAATTGTACTGTTCAGATTATAGATTGCAATCGTGCATTACAAGACTGCCAATAAATTGATGCTAAATGTAAAATGATAAATGTATCATGTGTTTAGCTTTAAAACATTTTATCTATCTTGCACGATTTATATGTCATCGTGATATTGATAAAAGCAATAAATCTTTTAAGTGTACGTGTTCATAGTGTGTTGTTTTTCCTTAAACGTGCGGAGGCATTTTATCTGTTAGGTTCATAAATTTCTTACTAATGCGTTTATGTTGCCTAGTAATTTGTTTTACAGTAATATTAATGTTCTTAGTATTTATTTAAATACCAGTCTTACTTTGACGTAAATATCGTCCAGACGGTTAAATGTCATGTAAGATTTTTTTGTACGTAAAAAGAATGGCTGTAATTATTTTGCTGTGCAAAAACAGCACTTTCATCTTTTTTATAGTTAGCATTCTGTAATGTAACACAATATTCTTGTTTTATTGATACACTTCATTTTAGATTTCAAATGTTAAAATTTTATGTTGATAATAAATAATTGATTACCTGTTAAATGTGGTTATCTTTACATTGGGATATTGACCTGTGCATGGAATATCAAACTGTGTTATTATTTCATTCCTTGCACTTTCGTGTACCTACACGATCATGTTTTGAAATATTGTGATATATTGCTTCATATTTTATAATTATATAAATCATGAAAAACTATCACGTTGTTTAGCCTTTACTCAAAATATTCATACCAACCTCTGCATTTAAACGCAGTGGGATTCAAGGTATGTTTTTCATATGCGATATTGAGCAGTATCCCTTTGGAGTATGCCGGTTTATAAAGATGACCACACTTATAATATAAACATGCAGTGGTGTGTTTAACATTAGTGAGTGTAAGTCATGCTGAAAGTGTAGTGATACATTGAAAGCTAGTGCGCGTTAACAGACTTCAACACAATGATGACTTCAACACAATTGAAGCGCTGGAACTAAACCAAACTTCATTTATAATTAGCTTTCGTCATACCTAAGATAATGTGAGACTTTAATCAAATCATGACGTAAAAGACTATTTTCATGTCGTTATATAGGTTTTTTGTCGCCTTTCTAATGTGCAATTTACAGATCCAAATTTTTACTTACCGCCAGTGACGAGCCAGAATATAATTCAGCAAGTACCTACCCCACCCGCTAACCAGGAAATTTATCTGCAGTCTCAAAGTCCTCAAACATTTAATAAAACTGGTCAAACAGAAAATCAGATGAACATTGCACAACCATATATTGCACAACCATATATTGCAAAGTCCCGTATTGCACAGCCCGGTATTGCACCACAAGGATACACCCAGCCCCATGGGCTCATGACACAACCCAATAGTGTTCAACCTACAGGTAATCAAACGAACTTGTTAATTGATATGATCAACAGACTGGATTCTCGTTTGCATTCTATCGAACGCGATGTGTCTACTCTCGATCAAATCAGAACTGAATTATCATTTGTTCGAAGTGAAGTCACGCAAATCAAATCCGAAAACACAAGAATTAATTCCAGAATAAATCAGTGTGAATCCTTCTGTCAAAATATGAGTAACTTTAGTGACGATTTTTGTACCTACAAACGTAAATGTGACAAAACCTTTGATTTAATCCAGAATGAAAGAGAAACTTCAAATTCCAAAATTTACAGTCTTGAGAAGGAAAATTCTGAACTACAAGAAAAAATTCTTGACATGCAATGTAGGTCAATGCGCTCTAATCTGTTATTCACGGGTATCAGCGAAAATAGTGATACACAAAATACTGAAAATTGTGAAACCATCCTGCGGACATTCATCACAAATCACGGGCAAAATGACCTAACAGTAAATACCGCAGACAACATAACGGCCACAGACATCAAATTCGGCCGAGTACACAGATTAGGAGGCCCGACCAGCAAAAAACCTAGACCAATTATCGCACAATTCCTTGACCCAAACCAAAGAGATCTTATTAGAAACGCAGGTGTAAATCTGAACAAGAAAAAAACTGGGAAATATATAAACGAACAATTCCCCCCTGAAATTGATGAACGCCGAAAACAAATATTTCCTGTCATGCGCGAATTTAAAAACTCAAAAACTAACGATCAGTACAATAAATGTGTATTAGTTCGCGACAAATTGTATGTAAATGGGCTTCTATACGATCTTGAATCCGACTCTCTCAAAGACCCAAAACTTACAATGAAAAATTTCAATAGAAACCCAGACGCTGAACGCACAAAAACACATGTGAAAAGAAGCAGCAATTCGAGCCACTCGACTACTCGTGATATATCGCGCAACGAAAATCGCAAACCGAATAGACCTTATCTGAACCAAGCGATACACTGCGGGCGTGACACTGAGAGGAAATATATTGACTTTTCAACACCAAATAGATACGGTGCATTAAACAGAGAACGTTCTGAATCGCTACAAAGGAGCAAACATAAGGCTCGATCCCCCCTTGAGGAAACTGACATCAAGAGAGCACACGTAGACAATTGTCTCATCGAAGGCGCTTCAAGTCCATATAACGACCAAACAACACCGAAACTTCTGTCCCCTCAGGTGGGGCCTCACATAGATTCAATAAATAGCGGAGGAGCAATTATCAATTCAAGTTCACCTGGTCACTAGGCCAGGCGGAGAGAATTCGTGACTGAAAATAACAGTGCATGTTTTGATAACTATTCAAATTGTTTATTCGAACAAGAAAAGCTACCGGATTTAGATTTTGATTTTAAAGGCCAAGCAAAAAACTTATCTTTTTTATCTTTAAATGTTTGCGGTCTCGCGTCAAAACAATTAAGTCCAGAATTTAACTCATTTATTCAGAAAAATGATGTGATTGGACTCCAAGAAACTAAAACTGATTCACTTGACACTGTTATTTTAGAAAATTTTAATCTTTACTTTAAACACAGGAAACAAATAGTTAATAGAGGTAGAAAGTCTGGCGGAATTTGTGTTGCATATAAAAAGGATATTGAACAATATATTTCTTTTATAGATACTAATACACAACTTGTACAATGGTTTGTTGTTTCAAATAGACTTACTAAAAACGGTGATATTTTGTATAGTGTGGTTTATGTGCCACCTGAAAATTCGATTTTTACACCTGACGATCCGTTCTGAGAAATTCAATTTAAAAGTAAATATAAACACATCTATATTTTCGGTGATTGGAACGCTAGACTCAAACAAATGCAAGAAATCACCGAACCAGATTTTGACATATTTCGAGAAAATGATAGGATAGACTTATATAATGAACTAGAACAAAACACAAATATATTTATTAGTACAAATGTGCATAAATTAAGAAACAGTGAAGATAACTCTGTTAACAATTATGGCAACAAACTTATTGATTTTTTAAAGTACAATAGTATGTATATACTTAATGGAAGAACAAATGGTGACCTCTGTGGCTGCGTAACATGCAAAAATGTTAGTACCATTGATTTATTTATTTGTACTAGTAGCATGTTTTCCTTTATTTCTAAACTGATTGTTTTAGATTTTTGTCCCATGTATTCTGACGCTCACTGTCCTGTTGAAGTTGTGTTTGATCATAGGGATACATTTGTAAAGACTCAACCAACTGTCAAAAACCAGAGACCTAAATTGTGGGACCAAAATAATATTCAAACGTTTGTTGATAACTTAGATACAGATAATGTAAATAGAATATATGATGAATTAATCACTATACAGGAGACTAACAACTGTTCTCAAGAAATTGATAATAAGTTAGTGACAGAAATTTGCTCAGTATATAGCAATAGTATTGAAAAAAGCTTTATTACAAATGGTGTAAAACAAACTTCCAGTAATAAACGGAAAATAAATCCTTTACCGCCTTGGGTAAATGCTGAATGTAAAGCAGCTAGACGAAATTTTCATCGGGCCAAATATTTGTACAAATTACGTAAAAACGATGTTTATAAACAAACTTTAAAAACTAATAGCAAAATATATAAAAAGCAATTGAAGGAAAGTTATAATCAATTTAAAACGACAAATGTTAAAAAACTTAAAAGTTTAAAAAAATCAAGTCCTAGAGAGTACTGGAAGATCCTAAATGGTGGAAAGAAAAACGTTGTTAATTCTGAATTAAACGATCTGTATAATTATTTTAAAATATCAATAGTTGTAGTAATGACAACTATACACTCTCTGACAACGATATCTCGGATTTACATGTAAGCAATGATGACATGTTAAATAAAGAAATATCTTTGCAAGAGATTGAATTTGCAGTAAAATTACTTAAGAACAATAAAGCATGCGGTTTAGATAATGTTTTAAATGAACATATTAGACACTCCTTCCCCATCATGAAACATATTTATTATAGACTTTTTAACATTATTTTTAACTATGGTGTAATACCTGATTCCTGGACAGTTGGTGTTATAAATCCCATATAAAAAAATAAGGGTGAGGCTAGTGAGCTTAGTAACTATCGACCGATCACACTGCTGAGTTGTTTCGAAAAACTATTTACCTCTGTTTTGAATATACGATTACAAAATTTTGCGGATAAACATGATCTAATAAATCAATATCAAGCTGGTTTTCGAAAAGGGTTTGCAACTGTAGATAACATGTTTGTTTTAAAAATGTTAATTGATCTACTCCACCATTCTAAGAAAAAGTTATTTTGTTCTTTTATAGACCTAAAAAGTGCATTTGATACCATTAGTAGGTCAAGACTGTGGATAAAGCTGAATAAGAATAATATAAGTGGTAAATTTTTAAATGTTGTCAAAAGCATTTACAATAATGCGAAAACTTGCGTATGTGCAAATGGTGAAAAGTCTGATTTCTTTCCATGTAACATTGGTGTTAGACAAGGCGAAAATCTATCGCCGTTGCTCTTTTCTTTTTATTTGAATGATTTGCATGATTATTTTTCAAATAGTAACAGTATAGAAGGTGTAACATTTAATGATGAAGTACTTGGACTTGTAAAATTGTTTATTATTCTATATGCTGACGACACGGTTATTTTATCTGAGTCGGCAAACGATTTACAAATAGCTATTAACCTATATAAAAGTTATTGTGACAAATGGAAATTAACAGTTAATACATCTAAAACAAAAGTTCTTAAATTTTCAAAAGGTAGGCGAACGCAGTATAGTTTTACATATGGTAATGAAAATCTAGAAGTTGTCGAGGAATTCAAATATCTAGGAATATTATTTAGTAGGAGTGGTAGTTTCCTAAAAGCAAAGACCTATATAGCTAACCAAGCAACAAAAGCCATGTACTGTTTAATTAAAAAATCAAAAAATCTTCAATTACCTTTAGATATGCAAATAGATTTGTTTGACAAACTTGTAAAACCAATTTTATTATATGGTTGTGAATGCTGGGGATATGGGAATAACAGTATACTTGAAAAAGTACAATTGAAATATCTTAAACATATATTAGGCCTAAAATCTAGTACACCAAATTGTATTGTGTACGGCGAATGTGGTGTTAAACCAATTTCTATTGATATTGATTGCAGAATGATTAATTTTTGGTCTAATCTAGTTGTACCTAATGAATTAAAATTGTCTAGCACATTTTATCAAATTGCTCTTAAAACTTATAATACAAGTAGTAATGTCAATAGACAGACATTTCTGTGGTTTAAGCATATAAAAAATATACTTATTAAATGTGGAAACCCTAATGTATGGACCTATCAGATGTTTCCTAATCACAAATGGTTAGTTGCCAATGTTAAGCAAAAATTGTCAGATATATTTTTAAATGACTGGTATTGTACAGTAAACGAATCAAATAAATGTAAAAATTATAGACTATTTAAAGAAACATTCCATTTCGAACCCTATTTAATAAATACACCAAAAAACTTATTAAGATATGTAATTAAGTTTAGAACAAGAAACAGCAGACTTCCTGTAGAAACCGGAAGTTGGAATGGTATAGATCTAAATTTACGTAAATGTACTCTTTGTAACAGCTCCGGAAGTATTGGAGATGAATTCCATTATCTCTTTGAATGCAATGAATTATCTGTACTAAGAAAAAGAATGCTAGATCATAATTATTTAAGACATCCAAATATATTAACTTTTAAATCTATTATGAATATGAATATGACTCATTGTAATGAATACAGAAATTTTTGTTTATTTGTTAAGGAAATAATTACAAAATTTGAGAATAGTTAACATTTCTACATATTTGTTTATCATGTCCTTGAAAATGCGTGTTTCTCTCCATTTTGTTAAGATGAATTGTATTAATATTATTATTTTCATGTGTATGCTATGCCTCTTTATGTAATGTACGTTTATATGCTATAGCTCATATTGTCATGTGTGTACATGAATTGAGTTCTGAAATAAATAAATAAACAAGCTTACCTTGGACAGTCATCTGTAGCTATTTTACTCAGATAATTACTGTGTTAATTACGTAGTAGATTGATATTGATATTAGTGTAAGATAATAGATTTTATTAGTATTTAAAATGTACATATAGATAAACTTTATATATTATATATTTGAAAAAAAAAATAAGATTACGAATGCTATTCGAAAATCAGAGTAGTTTTTGATTTTATTTTGTTTTCAAAGTTTGTCTTTCTGGGGACGCAGGTATTCTTTGATTCATCAGGAATTCCATATCGTTCTATATAAACTCCTGAATCTTTCGGCTCTATTCGTACAGCGTTCGGTGAAGCCATAGCTGGGTCTTCAGGAAAGTAGTTATAAGGTTGTAATAAGAAGCTAGGTGAGAGGCCCGTTGTAGTTGTAAGAGGCAAATCTTCCTTGTGTGGGATATGATGAACACCTAGTGTCACCCACAGAACAAGATCCTGAAAATAGTATTAAAAGTATGTCCATGAAGTAACCGGGCTAACGGGCTAGCAGTCTAGCGGGCTAACAGTATGAACTGAGCGGGCTAGCAGTCTAACAGTGTGAACTGGGCGGGCAAGCAGTCTAGCGGGTTAACAGTGTGAACTGGGCGGGCTAGCAGTATAGCGGGCTAACAGTGTGAACTGGGCGGGCTGGCGGGCCAGCGGGCTAAAATCTAAAACTTTATTTATTGAACATAAAAATGTTATGATACATTACCTGGCAGTGTGAAGTGGGCGGGCTAACAGTGTAGCGGGCTAGCAGTGTGAACTGGGCGGGCTGGCGGGCCAGCGGGCTAAAATCTAAAACTTTATTGATTGTACATAAAAATGTTATGATACATTACCTGGCAGTGTGAAGTGGGCGGGCTAACAGTGTAGCGGGCTAGCAGTGTGAACTGGGCGGGCTTGCGGGCCAGCGGGCTAAAATCTAAAACTTTCTTGATTGAACATAAAAATGTTATGATACATTACCTGGCAGTGTGAAGTGGGCGGGCGAACAGTGTAGCGGGATAGCAGTGTGAACTGGGCGGGCTGGCGGGCCAGCGGGCTAAAATCTAAAACTTTATTGATTCAACATAAAAATGTTATGATACATTGCCTGGCAGTGTGAAGTGGGCGGGCTAACAGTGTAGCGGGCTAGCAGTGTGAACTGGGCGGGCTGGCGGGCCAGCGGGCTAAAATCTAAAACTTTATTGATTCAACATTAAAACCTAATGATACATTACCTGGCAGTGTGAAGTGGGCGGGCTAACAGTGTAAAGGGCTAGCAGTGTGAACTGGGCGGGCTGGCGGGCCAACGGGCTAAAATCTAAAACTTTATTGATTGAACATAAAAACGTTATGATACATTACCTGGCAGTGTGAAGTGGGCGGGCTAACAGTGTAGCAGTGTGAACTGGGCGGGCTGGCGGGCCAGCGGGCTAAAATCTAAAACTTTATTGATTCAACATTAAAACTCATGATACATTTCCTAGCAATGTGAATTGGACGGGCTGACAGTGTAGCGGGCTAGCAGTGTGAACTGGGCGGGCTGGCGGGCCAGCGGGCTAGAATCTAAAACTTTATTGATTCAACATTAAAACCTCATGATACATTTCCTAGCAGTGTGAATTGGACGGGCTGACAGTGTAGCGGGCAAGCAGTGTGAACTGGGCGGGCTGGCGGGCCAGCGGGCTAAAATCTAAAACTTTATTGATTCAACATTAAAACCTCATGATACATTACCCGGCAGTGTGAAGTGGGCGGGCTAACAGTGTAAAGGGCTAGCAGTGTGAACTGGGCGGGCTGGCGGGCCAACGGGCTTAAATCTAAAACTGTATTGATTGAACATAAAAACGTTATGATACATTTCCTGGCAGTGTGAAGTGGGCGGGCTAACAGTGTAGCGGGCTAGCAGTGTGAACTGGGCGGGCTGGCGGGCCAGCGGGCTAAAATCTAAAACTTTATTGATTCAACATTAAAACCTCATGATACATTTCCTAGCAGTGTGAATTGGACGGGCTGACAGTGTAGCGGGCTAGCAGTGTGAACTGGGCGGGCTGGCGGGCCAGCGGGCTAAAATCTAAAACTTTATTGATTCAACATTAAAACCTCATGATACATTACCTGGCAGTGTGAAGTGGGCGGGCTAACAGTGCAGCGGGCTAGCAGTGTGAACTGGGCGGGCTGGCGGCCAGCGGGCTAAAATCTAAAACTTTATTGATTGAACATTAAAACCTCATGATACATTACCTGGCAGTGTGAAGTGGGCGGCTAACAGTGTGGCGGGCTAGCAGTGTGAACTGGGCGGGCTGGCGGGCCAGCGGGCTAAACTTTAAAAACTTAATTGAATCAACATAAAAACCTTACTATACATTTCCTAGCTGTATAAGCTTGGTGAGCTAACAGTGTAATGTGCTAGCAGTCTAGTGGTCTAAATTCCATACTTAATTATTTTAACACTAAAGCGTTATGATGCATTTGTTAGCAGTGTGAACTCGGCGGGCTAACAATGATTGTTTCATATAGTATACACGACCCTTGAGAGTACACTAAATGGTTTTAAAATCCGTATTGATATTTAAGTGATGCATGGTATACAGAAAAAACGATCTTAACTGAAACAGAAAAAAAAAACACTGCAACATAAGATTTTAGTAGTAGGGCAGTCAAATGTAGAACCTCATGTAGTGAAGCAGAAGATGAACCAGAGGTACATACATAGGTGTATACTTCGTGCAATGACAGAAGCTTGTCCATAAACATAAGGACATCTAGGAATCTGGCGATTTATTTAGGAGCGGATCTGTGGTCTGGTGGTTAAATACATACATTTGTATATATAATCAAGGGGTTTGAGTTCGACCCCCTCTCCTCCCTAACATTACCAACAGTCTTTCGGATGGGACTTTAAAGCGAGGTGCCGTTTATCGGTGCATTACACCTGACACATAAAAGATCCAGGTATGCTTCTGAAATGGGCCATATTCTGTACTTCCTGCACTATATTACGAATGTCAAATTGTGAAAAACCACAAAGCGACGGCATACTTATACCGACAGATGTACCATCAGAGTTTCCTCACTATGTCTTATTGCAGCTCTGAGTTCGAGGCTACCATAGTGATTACATGTATTTTCATGTAAGGACGTTAACCAACTAGCTTGCAGAATGTGGGTGGTTATACCAAGAACTGGTGTCCGCCTGAGCCTGAAAGTTGTCCGAAATGGCACCTGGGTCTGAATCGTACAAAATGGAGGAGAGGTTAACAATCCGTCCAGATGATCAAAATTGATGTTTGCATTTTTGGAATGAGTTTGCATTTCGTAAAAATCCCACAATTTTAGGATCTTATCCTCAACCATTAGCCTACTGATTTACGGCAGATTATAACATAGTGATATAGATTCAGAAATTGCGGAAAATGCCGCAAAACTGGGAATCAATGACAGCAAGTATGTTGATTGAGATATTTCATTGTCGGTATATTTGTCACATTTTTTATTTCATAATTATGTTCGGATAAACCAACAACTATCATTTCACTACTGTCCATAAACAAAACTAAAACAAAAATTTTGATATGTGGTGTTGCCATGACAACGAGAAGTTATCTAGAGTTCACTCTATTTCTTTGTCCGTTCAAAGCAGAAAATTGGATTATGTTATTACTTTTAAACAGATTGAATATATATCACCAGTCTATGACTATTCGGTTTATATAGTACATTTGTTAATTTACAATATCAGGAGGTGAGCTGTGGTGGGTAGGGAACCAAAGGGTGTATCCACACTCGACGTGTTTTGCCAGTGACCGTTAGGCACCGGAGACCCGTGCTGGGCGATACTAAACTGCTGACGAATTAGCTGAATAATATAGAATGTATAGGAAACTGCTGACAAGGATTATCGAAAACGCTGACCAGTTAGATAAAAGAAGGGAAAACAACAATGAAGGTGTTCAAATTGCCGTTGGTGATATTATAGGCGAGGTCGAGAAATACTTGATAAGATGTTTTTCAAGATGACAATATTACAAAATGATAAATATTTATTATAAAAATTTCAATTGATATATTTCTCAATTTCTGTTGATATAATATTTTATTTTAGTACCTTAATGACTTTTCTTCTGTGTGTTTTATATTGGTTATAAATTTTAAAAATGTAGTCAAATATGATGTATGAAAAATCATATTTTTTTCAAGTATGTATAAGCTATGCATCATAGGTTAAAATATATACATGTACTTATATGTAATGTACATTTTAACAACATATAATTATTATGTCGTATCAATGGATTTATATATATATATATATATATATTATATAATATATATATATATATATATATATATATATATATATATATATATATATATATATATATATATAAAAAAGTATGTTTTGGGAAATGCAGAGTACAAAGTTCGTTAATTTTAATACGTTTATTTCTGTTAGCGCTTTTAATGTTGTACACATATCTTCAGACAGTAACGTATACGTTACTGTCTGAAGATATGTGAAAACATTTGAAAGCGCTAACAGAAATAAACGTATTAAAATTAACGAACTTTGTACTCTGCATTTCCCAAAACATACTTTTTTATATATATATATATATATATAAATCCGTGGTCGTAATTTAGACAAATATGAAATAAAGTGATTTTCTGTCTGTCTTAATTTGTTGTTCGTATAATTGTATAAGTAATATTGAACAAAAAATTAATAATGACCTAATTGTTATAGTTAATTAGCCTTTTATTACATTATAAACAACCAATGTTTCTAACAGATATCCAAATTAAATTGATAATTCATTTTTATATTTTTTTAAAAAATTATCTTTTAAACGTTTTATTCATTGTATTGATTTTTCATGTTTGTTCATTCGTTGAACTAATGTATTATACTAAACTTTGTTGGCTTGTGTATGGAATATATAGAATATTATTATTTATGTTGCATGTTGTCAGTAAGAATGCATAAGGGCTCGTGAAAAATTTTTCGGAAATTTTCGAAAGGTTTTTAACCTTTTATATATATATATATATTACTTGTTCCCACTGACATTTCTTAATATATTTTTTGAAAAAATAACTTTTGCATAATATTTGAGATTGTTATAAGTATAAGGTTATTGTTTATTTTTTTAATTTTAAGGAACTTATTGCAAGCCACGCCAAAAAGCGCAGGCATAAGTTCTATCAAATTGAAAATATAATACAATGTACGATATTAACAAACTCGCATTTTCTTGAATTTTCTTGTCAAAAGCCCGTATTGAAAAAAAATGAAAAATCAGAATTATTTGATCACAAGAAGCAACTGTTGCCATCGGCGCAGAAACTTTTTATTTAATAAAAAGACGACAAAAACTCTTATGGTTATATATTTATTTTTTAACCCTTTAAATGACGTTTTATCGGAGTTTTCATAATATAGGCATATAGGCAAAATTAAAACTGTTCAACTAGGGAATTTCTTTAAACTTAATTGGCATGTTGTTAAAAATATGATAACAGAAAAACATTTTTTGCAAAAAAAGTGAATTCTGGGGTCAACCGTTCTCGAGTTTTTGATCAGTTGTATATCAAATACGGCGCCCAACAAGACCGGTTGATCAGGTTTCGACAATGTTCCCGGTGGCTTGGACACTAGAATCATACTCAGTGGTTGGGCAGTAAACAAGTGGTAGATTCTTGGCAGACGGCGCGAATGGGCACCGACTGATGTGGAATCTACGATGTTCGCCCCAAAGGGGCTGAGTATACTCGGTCAAAGCACTTAAATTAAGTGTTAATGTCTGTAAGTTTGTTTCAGCCGCCGGAATTAGGAGTTTTAAAAAAAATGTCTAGATTTTTGCTATTAAAACAAAAGATGCCAGTTCCATAACCATCCCTGGTTGGTTGAGACGCATGGTTTAAATTTAATACGGAATATTTGACAGGAAGTGACCCCAGAACAATCTTGACCCAATTCACACTGCTAGGAAATGTATCACGAGTTTTTAATGTTTGAATCAATAAAGTTTTAGATTTCAGCCCCTGGCCCGCCAGCCCGCGCAGTTCAACACTGCTAGCCCGCTACACTGTTAGTCCGTCCAGTTCACACTGCTAGCCCGCTACACTGTCAGCCCGTCCAATTCACACTGCTAGGAAATCTATCATGAGGTTTTAATGTTCAATCAATAAAGTTTTTAGATTTTAGCCGCGCTGGCCCGCCAGCCCGCCCAGTTCACACTGCTAGCCCGCTACACTGTTAGCCGTTGCCGCCCACTTCACACTGCCAGGTAAATGTAATCATAACGTTTTTATGATCAATCAATAAAGTTTTAGATTTTAGGCCCGCTGGCCCCGCCAGCCCGCCCAGTTCACACAGTTAGCCCGCTACACTGTCAGCCCGTCCAATTCACACTGCCAGGTAATGTATCATAACATTTTTATGTTCAATCAATAAAGTTTTAGATTTTAGCCCGTTGGCCCGCCAGCCCGCCCAGTTCACACTGAAATATCTAGCTAGCCCGCTACACTGTCAGCCCGTCCCAATTCACACTGCTAGGAGAATGTATCATGAGGTTTTAATGTTCAATCAATAAAGTTTTAGATTTTAGCCCGCTGGCCCGCCAGCCCGCCAATTCACACTGCTAGCGACCGCTACACTGTTAGCCCGCCCACTTCACACTGCCAGGTAATGTGTCATAACGTTTCAAATGTTGAATCAATAAAGTTTTAGATTTTTAGCCCGCTGGCCCGCCAGCCCGCCCAGTTCACACTGCTTAGTCGCATCCGCTACAACTGTTTATGCCCGCCCACTTCACACTGCCAGGTAATGTATCATAACATTTTTTATGTTCAATCAATAAAGTTTTTTAGATTTTTAGCCCGCTGGCCCGCCAGCCGCCAAGTTCACACTGCTAGCCCGCAAACACTGTTAGCCCGCCCACTTCACACTGCGAGGTAATGTGTCATAACGTTTTCCATGTTGAATCAATAAAGTTTTAGATTTTAGCCCGCTGGCCCCACCAGCCCGCCCAGTTTCACACTGCAATATCCCCGCTACACTGTTAGCCCGCCCACTTCACACTGCCAGGTAATGTATCATAACATTTTTATGTTCAATCAATAAATTTTTAGATTTTAGCCCCGCTGGCCCACCAGCCGCCCCCAGTTCACACTGCTAATCCGCTACACTGTTTAGCCCGCCCACACTTCACACTGCCAGGTAAATGTATCATAACATTTTTATGGTTCAATCAATAAAGTTTTAGATTTTTCCCGCTGGCCCCGCCAGCCCGCCAAGTTCACCACTGCTAGGGCCCGCTACATGCTAGCCCGCCCACTTTCAACCTGCCAGGTAATGTATCATAACGTTTTTCAAATGTTGAATCAATAAAGTTTTGATTTAAGCCCGCTGGCCCCGCCAGCCCGCCCAGTTCACACTGCTAGCCCGCTACACTTTTTAGCCCGCCCACTTCACTCTGCCAGGTTAATGTTATCATTTAACATTTTTTTGTTGAATCAATAAAGTTTTAGATTTTAGCCGCGCTGGCCCGCCAAGCCCGCCCAGTTCACACTGCTAGCCCCGCTACAATCTGTATAGCCCCCCACTTCACCACTGCCAGCGTAATGTATCATAACATTTTTTATGTTCAATAAAATAAAGTTTTAGATTTTAGCCCGCTGGCCTGCCAGCCCGCCCAGTTCACACAGTTAGCCCGCTAGACTGCTAGCCCGCCCAGTTCACACTGTTAGCCCGCGCTAGACTGCTAAGCCCGCTCAGTTCATACTGTTAGCCCGCTAGGACTGCTAGCCGTTAGCCCGCGTACTTCACGGACATATTAAAAGTTAGACAATTTCTGCATAAATATATCTCTTTCATGTGTTACAAAACTATGAAAAGAATAAAATATATATAAATATATATTTATTTTATACAGTAAGAGTATTTTAAATTATTCCAGAATATTTGATAAAATATATAAATAATTCATTCTGTACCAGTTACTTAAACCAAATCTTTAACTTGACCTACCCTCAGACACTGTTATCTAATGTACCATATTTTGGACAGTTTAGTGTGCATGATCTTTCCCATGATCGCAGAGTAATAAATGTCATTAACGATAAAAGTATTCAAACGTCTTATCAGACTTAATGTATAACATTAAATACGCAGTTTTAATTTGGAAATAAAATAAGTCACTTGACATTGTTTAGTTCAATTTGAAAAATGATTTATGTGTGTACAGTTTAAAATACGCAGGGTTTTTTCCAACAGTTTCATGGTATATATACAAATAATATACCAATAAAGTAATATACGCGATAAAGGCATAAATTGTTGAAAATAGATTGGGATCGAAATTGATATTTAAATAATCAAAATATTTAAATATCTGAAATTAATTTTCAGACCTTGCATCATTACAAAAAATTGTTAAATCCTTTTTTGGTCCAAGTGTCATGCCATAGGCATTAAAAATGTATTTTCAGCATAGTACGTTGTGCTCCTAAAATGTCTCTCAAAAATGTGTTGCATTATCAGAAGGGCAGTGTCAAATCGGCAATCGGTAAAATTATAGTGATTTAGTATCTTTAATGAGTCAAAGAACTACTTTATTCATATTTTGCTACTTTACGACACACTTGTATACATTTAACATATCATGTTAAACATCGTACATGCTCAAATATATCATTAAAACACTATAAAAACACATTATTATTTGATATTTCTAAAGAATTTAAATTACTGAGTCATAATGTGTCTTTAAAAGTGGAGTCAAATAAATAATGAAATAAGGAAATGAGACTGACTGTGGTGGTCTTAATAGTGGATTAGAACGTTTGTCCAAATTGAGCAAGACATGACTATATCATGAAATAAATCGATTTCAACAGCGGGGTGTCTTAATACCAGGATGGTCTTAAAAACGGTTTCTAATATAATAATTGATAATTTGACATAGCATATATAGGTGACAGATAAAACAAGTTATCATTCATCACACCCTGAACTGATAATGTCAGGAATATTTTACGAGTTTTTTTGAAATTGCGCGTATGTAATAAATGAGGAAAAATCATCAACGCCTAAACTGACCAAGAACTAGTGTACAAATTTCAGATCATTCTTTTACATGTACTCCGTTTCCAAGGAATAATCAATTTATTGTGCAAATTGACACTAAAATGAAAAGCGTTGCAAATCGTTACTCAAATCGCCTAAGAAATTTAATATAAATCGATTATCAATTTTCTACCGAGTATATCTATTACATAGCTTTTAGTCATTACTTTTATAAATGAAATTCAAATGTTATAGTTTTAGGCTATTGAACCTCAGTGGAATTATTATTATTATTATTAAAATGAACCTCGTCCGTGATGTTTTCATCATCATCTATATATCCCTGGAAGTTGACAACCTGGTTATCTGTATCAAACATGGAGTACATGGAACTGCTATGAGCTTCTGTGTCTTTCCGTTTAGTCACAGCATGCTGGTACCTCGCCCAACTTATGGCTGGTTCCTTATTATGACCTTCTGGAATAATTTGCTTTACCATACCGTTATGGATAAGTCTGAAATCAAATGAAACGTTGTCAAGTTTATTTTTGTATGTTTTGTTTTATCCCATGTAGTAAATAATTGATGTTCATTGATTTTCAACATTTGGGCCGTCCCATGAGAAAACCAACATAAAACATAGTGCAAAAACATCACATTTTTACATGTACTTTATTTTTCTTCAATTTTATGCAAAAACAATATATAAGAAGTTTTTTTTAACTATAAGTTCACAGGTATATACCCTGAAAAAAACGACTTTTTTACGTCATGATATTATAAGTAGAACGTAACGTCTAAATAAGGTAAATGAAATGGCGTTAAGATCAAAAGTACTACACTGACTGCAAGATTCTACATTTATTATAATTTGTACACAGTTTGTATACGTTTATCTACTGCGTTCTACACAGAAAATAGGAAAGAAAGAAAGAAAGAAAGAAAGAAAGAAAGAAAGAAAGAAAGAAAGAAGAAAGAAAGAAAGAAAGAAAGGAAAGAAGGAAGGAAGAAAGAAAGGAAGGAAGGAAGAAAGAAAGAACTGCTCTAATGGATCAGTAACTTTAATAGAAGAAGGGAGATGTGGGATAGTATTGTGTACAAATTCTTTATGTGAAAGGAGTTTTGCAGAGAAGTCAATTGTTATATTGTAAATAAGCATAGAAAAGGAGGTAACTCTTCAGTACATATTGGAAGTATTTGCAGTATGCGGTGAAGAGTTGTCTCCCCTTTCATTACGTTATTCTTAACAGAATATCCATAGAGTTTATGTTTTACAATTTGTAATTGAAATGTTGTATATCTTTTGTATGGATGAGACTTTAATAAAGATAAGACCGAACATATCTTTGTAGTCGAAAATCCATCGCCCGGGGATAAACAGACCTCAAACTGTGTTACGGAATCTCTCCAAGCTCTAAAGAGCTGTGATCTTATAGTCAATTGTCTTCTTAACTTGTTACATGTTATGGTTGTTCGCGTACTTAAAGCTAGGATAAAAAGATAGTTAGTAGTTGGTGAAAAAAATAACACAATTAATGATTGTAAACAATTTTTAAAGCATTCTGATGAAATATAACGGTTTAAAAACAAATTATTTGCAAAATGTGCGATGTAGAAGATTATGAAAACAGATTATTTTCAATTGCTGTTATGTAATGATTAATCCATTTTTTATTTTTAAAGCCCGTTAATCGAAAAATCACTGTTAAAGTGGCCGTTTGTGTTTAAAATATGACGCTTATGATCGTTGTACTTTGTCCGTGTTAATGTATTTATTTATCATTACAAAAATATCATTAACCATGATGTCATGTTAAGTAAAAAAGGAGCTTAAAAAGACATGATTGTAGCAGGCTTAATATCCCTGTAGTGATAAAAGTCGTACTCACAACGCTTGCATTCTTGCTATTGAAAGTAAATGTATCTTTCCTTAATATAATACTGTAATATTTGAATAACAATTATTTCAAATAATTTAAATAAATGAGATGCAGACATTATGAGTTTTATTGCCAAACTGTGTAACTGTTAAACATTTATAAATACTTAGCATTTACATAACTGCATTGCGAATGTCGATCTTTCTATATGAAAAGATAAATACACATTTTCTACTTAAAATAAAATTATTCAAAAAATAAGTGAAGCTATCGGAAATACACGAACGCATGATAGATTCTATATAAGTCACAATAAACCGCTTAGAAGAGAGCGGGCGGGCATAACGTTTCAATTCATAAATTTAATTAAATATACCTATAAATTTGAAAATGTGTAATATAATGGTTGGATGAAAACGTTTTATTAATACATGTAATTCGGTAATTTCTGTATGTGTCGAAAATGTATCACAACCCGTCCTAGATATAATGAGCAAGATGACGTGCACTGACGGTGGTAAGTAAGAATTGTGTACGCGGTAAATTGGTATATTTTAACGTCAGATTTAAATAACGTTTTCTCGCTGACGTCATTTTCTGCACTATGTTTCGTGATCACCGCCGTATGAACACATCTGCGGATGTCTCAAAAGTAAACTTTGTTTAAATGTTCAATACTGCTTAAGCCTGTGCTAGCGGATATGGACAATAGCTCGCACTTTCCAGTACTGTCCATGAACAGGCACAATCAAACCGAGCCTGCACTAGTTTTGGACTTTCCTTAGGGATTCTATTTATCTCTGTTTTGTATCATAGTTTAGGGACCTTTCTGTTGAAAATGTGACAGAGTTAAATCGTATACACGTACATGCACAGTGAGTTAACTGGAGTGCAGAGTATAAGTTACCCGCACTCCAGAGCATGCCCATTGATTGGTTCATTTTGTCCGGGGTTTACATATTGTGACGACAGAGAAAGGGATAGCGATGGAAATGTCATATTCAGATTCTCGTTCATTGGTTACTTTTTTATGGGGTTTCATATTATGGTATCAGGGAACGTGTTTTTATGTTTGACTATGATACAATAGAGAAAGAATATCAAAACACTCGGCAATCTGATTTATACTTGGGGGCCACGCCCCGTCGTACAAATCAGATAGCCTCGTGTTTCGATGCTCTTTCTATTACTTAGAACTTCCTGGTACAGTTTAAATGTATAAAGAAGTTATAACAATTAAGATATAATCAGATTATGCAAAAATGAATTATAAATATATATTATACCGTCAACTTATACAAGATACGTATGTTTAAGTAAGAAAACATTTCAACGAACGTTGTTATCTTAAGAAACTAAAAGTGGGTGGGTGAGTGAGTTGGTGAGTAAGTGAGTGAGTGAGTGACATCAAGTAAGTAAACCTTACTGTGGGGAAAATAAAATTCAGATGCTTTTTTATGCTGAAAAAAAGTTGGATAAAAATGTTTTATTTTTTTAACTCCCCTTCCATGTCTAAATGCGAAATTTCACTTCCCCCAAATTTTTACAAAAACCCCCAACGCGAGTTTTTCTATGTGATTGCTTTCAGGGAACTTTTAAAAACTTTTTGACAAAGATGGGCTTTAAGCGTCGAACTTTGTTTAGGCTTGAAATTTATTCTATTATCATACGGCAAATTAGCTCAGGGTAGTGGAAAAAGGGAGTGTCCACCTTTTAAATTCTTCAGAGGTTCGCCTTGTTAAAAAGGGGGTAATATGTTTGGGTGCACATGTCCGTTTTCGATGTGACAATAAGGAAAAAATCTAAATATACCTGTATGCTGAAGGATTCCCGTATGTATCTCTTGTCTTATTGTTATAGAATATGTGATATTTCGGTGTTTCAAAATTAAATTTGTAAGCTGCCTCTTTCTCTGTACGCTTTATAGATTTCTCAAGATATCCTTGGCTGTAAGTAGAGTTGATTTTTCTAGAAAATTCATTTGGTGTTGTTTCTGTTTTAATATCTATAGTTTCGTATCTATTGCTTTGACCTTTTACGTCCAGATCGGCTTTAAAATGAAACATGTGTGTATGAAAGCTCGCAACAATATTTTCATGTAACTGAAATCCATATTTTTTCTCCATCTCTGAGAAAGCGTTAGTCAAAGCATAGCCTGTAGACATGCTCTTTACTTCGACGACGCCATTTTGGTAAAACCGGAAGTCGAGTACATAGTCATAATTAACCACCGTTACGATTGTCCTGAGAACTAAAAACACATTCACCATGCCTTCGTAGAATTTACCTTCGGATTCATAGTAAGAATGATGCCTTCTCAGTGGGTTTCTCCTTATTTAAATTCAAATAAGCAAAGAAGAACATTCTTTGTTACATCAGCCGGGTCTGAAAGTTTCTTGTAATTTATGCTTCGTTGTCATTAATATGTAGCGTGATTTGGACAATCACCCAGGAATTACCCCTGTGGCGATTGGTCCTATAAGTTCAGCGGAATCCATATAGTCGGAAAACCTTTGCTGGGGGCTGTGTCCAGAATAGAATACTGAAACCTCTTGGAGACCTAATTCATAAATAATTCGTTCGTTTTCAAATCTTATGTCATATACCTGTGGCCCATAAGATGTGGATAAACGAAAATCAAATGACCACTGCATATAGTTCACATGTCTTCCTTTAACTGTATATCGTTGACCGTCAGGTTGAACAAAAACAGGGCTGCGTTTATTTTTAGCTGTTTCAGGTATTTTCCCTCTCCTATGAAGAGTAGAGAAAAGTTTTTTGTCAACCGTAGGAAATGCTTGTGGAACACATTTCACACTTTTGTTTCTAAATAAGGAAGAAAGGTCATTCATTGATTTGTACTGTTTACCCTTAAACCAAACGATTTCAATGTCAACGCCAGTGTCTTTGATATCTGCCAATACGGTAAAGGCAACAGGGTGGAGAGTATAATATTCCACAGCATATGTCAGCCAATACCAAGTTTTTCTCTTTTGCTCGCCACTCGAACGCTGGGGAAAAAGATGATGCGTAATAAAATCCAATACACTTATTTCCACAGTCTTTTAATTTGGCTCCAAAAAACATGTTTGAATTAGATCCCCAAGTCGTTCGTGAACTTGATCAGTTATTGATTGTGTAACTGAACCTAGTCAGCTTCCGTCATTGGTCTGTAGAAATACGGCAAAAGATGCGTTGATTTCCTGGTAACGGCCAATGTTTTGTCGGGGTCGGGAGAGGTCCAACTACGAGCTCTTTGATTTCTTTATTCGGACTTTTTCCATGGATTACAATGACCTTAGCCTCTCTAGGTGGCCGTTCCCCTTTGTTATCCAGATGAGCAATAACAGATGTCTTGTTAGGGAGATGAAGCTCAGCAACAAACACGTAATTTGCGTTGCTCTTATTTCCTGATGGGAGCACTAAATCCAGTCCTGATTGATCATATAAGTATTTCTTTAGTCCTTTTATTCTCAGTGTCCGTAAGGTCATCGAAAAAACTCCTGGTACTTCAGGATCGTGTTCCTCTTTGAATATGTCATCTATTTGAACAAGGAACTATTCCATTATCCTCGTCACCTTCCTTTCGTAAAGCCACAAGCAAGCCAATTAGCAGACCAACGCATGTCAATCCAAGAATTACTATTGTTATTATTAAAAATACGAATGACAGACTCTCCTTTCTTGCCTTTACCAGCACCCATAATTTATTATTTTCAATTTGCTACTTGGATGTCAAGCATCAAATGAAAGTCATTTTATGAAACTTATGCAACGTATTACAGAATTATATAAGAATCAAATCAACTTTTATCCTTGACACAACAAAATAAATCTTGAGTTTGTCTGCAAAATGCAAGCTTATCTCGACGAATTTAAGTTCTATTGATCAGGCGCATTTGCGTTTACTTCATGGGTTGTTAGGATTATAAATTTCTTATCTCGATAGATACGTTGGTATTACATTATATTTAACAAACAGATCGTCGTTAAGGCAACGCCATTTTTATTCTTTTTTTATCGTAACATATGTATGTAATAAACTCATAAAATCGAAGGCTTTTTGTTGTTTTATTTTGTGTTTGTTTTTGTTTTTTCTCGACATTTATGATGAAATTGATAGATAAAATGCACACTGCAAGTCAGAAAATGTCCTATACATGTGGAAAAAATGAATAAAATGTAAAAGAAACATGTTTGCCTCTCGTGGTGTGTGTTATATTTGCATGTAACAGTTATATAATAAAATAACATTT